CCCACCCACCCACCCACCCACCCACCCACCCAGCCACCCACCCACCCACCCACCCACCCACCCACCCACCCACCCACCCACCCACCCACCCACCCACCCACCCACCCACCCACCCACCCTCCCGCCGCCTACCGACCTACCTACCGACCTACCTACCCACCTACCTACCTGCCTACCTACCCCCTACCTACGGACATACGTGCATTCATGCATGCATGTATACAATCATACTAAATTTGCTACTTGTATGTATGTCTTGCACACGTCTCATGAAGGCGTTTACGTTCGTACTGCGTAACTTAATGACTCATTGAACTCTGAAGCGGCAAAGGCCTCGGGCATGTCCGCCCAGGCTGCTGCGTCCATGTCAGCTGCTTGGCTGACCTTGCTTTGGATAGGGTTTAGGGTCTAGGGGTTTAGGGGTTTAGGGTTTAGGGTTTGGGGGTTTGGGGTTTAGGGTTTAGGCGTTTAGGGGTTTAGGGTTCAGGGGTTTAGGGGCTTAGGGGTCTAGGGCAGAGATACCCTGATATGGTGTCTATGACGGTCTATGTTACGAGGATCCTGCTGTTCAGGAGTCAAGATTCGATCTCCATGGGTTGTATTAGGTTTCGAGTTGCTTCGCATGTCCTTGTGGTTAGGAGCTTGGATATGAAGCACTAGGGTTGTATACAAGGGCTTAGGGTTACAGGCTGCAGTGTCTGGTTTATGCTGGGAAGAAGCATGAACCCTTCGGGCTGCAAGAGAACTTCCTTCCTTTGCCGGAAACATCTCGCCAAGACCAGACTTGGTTTAGGGCTTATGGTTTAGAGGCTTTGGGTTTAGTGTTGAGGGTTTAGGCTACACGGCAAGAGCCCGATCGCAGGGGACCAGAACCCCGCAAACACCGGACCCCGCAGAAAACACGAACAATCTAAAAATGGAGTATATACCAGGCATATATATAAATAAGCAGTAGCTTCTCAAAACCCTAAACCCTAAACTCTAAACCCGGCTTGAGGTACTTCCCTGCGTAGTTGTCGGAAGCCCCCCGAAATTCCAGTAAATTCTGAAAGGGACTGGGCAATTTCGACTCTTGCCCTGCTTTTAAAGGATCATGGGACTTAGTAAGTAGGGTTTAGGGTTTAGGGTTTAGGGTTTAGGGTACTTAAAGGATCATGGGACTTAGTAAGTAATTAAGGTTATAATTAGGGTAGCTATACTTATAACCCTAATTGAGGGACTTGTAACCTTACTAGGGTTATAATTAGGGTAACTATACTTACAACCCCAATTAAGGGACTTATAACCTTACTTACTAAGTAAGTGCGCGGGCTATAGAGCCCTTTGCTACCCAACCAAAACAACTCAACCCAAATAGAATCTGCAGTACAAAACCAGGCATATAAAAAAAGCTCAAAAACCTCTGTAAGCGTCTATAAACACGAGCAAAACCACTAGAACAACTCTTGAACACGAGAACTCTAATCCTAAACCCAAAACCCTAAACCTTAAACCCTAAACCCTAAACCCCAAATTTATCCAGGAAGCCCACCAAGCTCCGTCCTCCCAAGAGGGAAGGGATGCCAGGAAGGTGCGCGGAGAGATGCGCAGAAACCTGATGCGGAGTCAAAGGGCTCCCTTTCTTGGTAGGGTTTAGGGTTTAGGGTTTAGGGTTTAGGGTTTTAGGGTTTAGGGGCTTAGGGTTTAGGGTTTAGGGTTCAGGGTTCAGGGGTTTACGGGGTTACCCTTAGGGGTTTCGCGAGTTTGGGATTTGAGGGTGGGTTTTCGGGTTCTGGGGTTCAGGGCGCCCCCTGCCGTCGGGTGACCCTCATTGTATGTAGTTTAGCATGTGGGGGGTCCGCTTGTAGACGGTTGGAGTCCTGTTCAGACAATGATTTACTTCTTCTTGAGAGAAGGGTCCTTCATGTAAGGAACTTGCTGAAACCTCATATTTAGGGTTCGGATTTCCGTGGCTTTCAACACAACACCAGCAGACCGGGTTCTGAGGCTTCAGCATGCTGGCTTCAACTCCACCCCTTCCTTTGGAGCTAAATTGCTTTTCAGAGAGATGCAGGATATGTTGGGGGTGGATCCGAACATGAGTGCTGTGGTTGGGGTCCAGGGTTCAGGGCTTTGAGGTTCGGGGTGTACGGTTCCGGGGTCTAAGGGTTTAGGCTTTACGGTCGGGCAAAATGGATTTACTCCTATCTGACTGAACTGAGCAGCGCTACTCGGAGCACATACGATTCTAGCTTCACTCATCAAACTCATGCAGAGAATATGGGTAGGTTTCTAAATTAGGATCCCTTTTAGGGTCCTTTTATCAGGCTGCCGTATGGACAAGACGATGCGAAACTACATCAAAGCAGCTGCGGAGGTCCATCCGGAAAGCGTTGCTCCTTGCACAACAGGCTTGATAATGTTTGTGTTAAAGGAAGCTACAGGTGGGGAGTTCAGGGTATACAGGGCTTCTCTAAGGCGTCCACTAAGTATATAGACCTTCTACAAGGCTCCTACAACGGTAACTCCCCACCTGAAAATGTCCTAGATTGTGGGGTTCGGAAAGCCTAGGATCCAATACTACGAGCAGGATCTTCATCCTGAATCCCTGCAGGTAAGAAAACCCTCGTTTTGAAGGGACGGTTTAGGGTTCAGGGGTTCAGGGGTTCAGGGGTTTCGGAATTTGGGGTTTAAATCTTAGGGGTACTTAGAAGTAATTTTTAAATCTTTGGTTACTATAACCCCAAGAAGCAGCTAAAATTATAATGTTTGCTAGGGGTCTAAGTTCAGTTCAACTTAGGGTTTGGCCTTCGAGCGTGCTAGGCCACCGCAGGCCACATGATGCGTTGAACACCACCTACCTCCGCGCATGCTGCAAAGAACGGTTTAGGGTTTTAGGGTTTAGGGTTTAGGGCTTAGGGTACTCAAAGCGGATCTACCTAAACGCGCAACAGGTCAGAGGCCTTAATCGCTATCACTACGCGTACCGCACCAGCCCAATCAGTTGAGGGGAATCGGAAGAAACGAGGACATCATAACAAGCAAGCCTCTATGTGTAGAGTCTTTGAGGCGGCAGGTCGTACACCGAAGCATCCAGGAATCTCGCATCTTGGAATCCTGGACTAGTTACTTCACGTGTTCATCTTGAACGACTACAACATATTAAGATTATCACTTCAAGTTGTTTTAGGGTCCCAGGAATAAGCCACCCCTAAACCCTGCACCCTAATGGTCCCTGAAGCTACACCCTAAGCACTAGACCCTCCTTAAGCAAGCCTTGCGTTGCTGAACCCAAGTCACGAATTCAGGTCGATCCAGCAGGTTTACGACCTTTCAGGGGGTTTTAACGTTTTTTGAATAAAGGGCTTGGGATTTCGGGCTTGGTGTTTCGAGTCTAGGGGCTATGGGCTCTGCACCCTAAACCCTAAACCCTGAAGCCCTAAACCCTAAACCCTAAACCCTAAACCATGGCTTCAGGGTTGAGAGATTGAAGTCGAGGGCACGGTTTCCGGGGGTTTCTCTCGGTTCTCCCCCGGCTTCAAACCCCAGGACCTAAATTCCAAAACCCTACGTGCCTAAAGCCTGAAGCCCTAAACCCTAAACCCCTAAAACCTAAACCCTAAGCCCTAAACCCTTCATGCCTAAACCCTAAAGCCTTAAACCCTACATGCCTAAACCCTAAAGCCCTAAACCCTATGCAGGGTCTTCGAAGTTCAGGATCACCTCGGACCAAGCCTGCACAGCCCGAGCCCGAATCCGCTGCAGGGCGACACCTAAGCCACCCATAGGCCCCATAGTAGTTCCTTTTTGGGGTTCAGATAAAACCCTAAACCCTAAACCCTGAACCCTGAACCCTAAACCCTAAACCCTGAACCCTAAACCCTAAACCATAAACCCTAGACCCTAAACCCTAAACCCTATAATGGAAGCCCCAAAAAAGGAACTACTATGGGGCCTATGGGTAAGCCCCTTCTGAGCCTGCAGCCGAAAACCTTCAACACCAAACAAGAAGTCCTGAAGGTTTAGGTTTAGGGCTTAGGGCTTTAGG